GATGGTGAGATTGTCGGTGGACCGCGCAATCCTCAACAGATTGCTGCACAAAAGCGGTTACAGCAGACGCAGGCACAAGTCGATGAGGTGAGTCAAAGGAAAATGGATTTCTAAAAAAAAATTTGAAATGAACTTTTCAAGAAACGAAAAAAAAAATCCATTCAATTTTTCACCAAAACATGAAGGCTCTAAAAGAAATAAAAATAGTTTGCTATGTTTGCGTATCTTTATATTTTTACATACTTAAAAGCAGAGACTTCTGAGCGGTAAAATCTTTTTTTTTTTTTTGAGAATTTTTCTGACAACCTTCCAAAGAATTTTTGGTCTCCGGAATACCGGAATATTTAGCTTTCAGACGAATCTCTTATATAACCAGCCCCAGATATTGAATTCTAATGATCCGGTCAAGAGAGCGTGGTTGCCAGAGTTGCCTGATCTTCATCTGCAGAAATCAAAAAAATTCTGATTATTTTCAAAAAGGAAAAATTGCATAATTAGCATAGATTTTTTCGTGTTTTTTTTGCAATTTACTCCCTTTTATTCTGACCTATTTTTCTACTTCATTGATTCCGCAAGGTCGTCGATATAATGCGAACAAATGTGGAGAAGGTGCTTGAGAGAGATCAAAAGCTATCGGAATTGGATGATCGAGCTGATGCCTTACAGCAGGGTGCTTCGCAATTTGAGCAACAAGCTGGTAAACTAAAACGAAAATTTTGGTTGCAAAATTTGAAGGTACAGTGGGGCAAAATAAAAAAATGCATTATAAATTAATTAAATATCAAATATTAACAATATATTTTCCACTCGTTCAACAGATGATGATTATTATGGGCATTATTGGACTAGTCGTTGTGGCCATTATTGCAAGTAAGTGTCCGAGTGCTATTTGGCAGAAAACCAATATTAGTAAAATGCATATAAATAATAAAAACAAAAATAATTTTTATTTTTTACTCTAATATTAAAACTGTCTTTAAAAAATAGACAAACGCACATACATACATATTTTCGTAGTGACTTTTGAATGATTAACTTTGCACAATTTCTTACAATTTTAAAACTTTTATATAATAAATTAGTTTTACATAGTAATACACACTTTATTTATAACGAAAATTTATTTTAAAAGTCTTTCGGATTTTTTAATAATTTTCAGCACACGTTTTTATTGTACTAAAAAAAAAAAATGTAATATAAAAATGTCTCTCTTTAGCTGTTTATATACATCTCCTTTATTTTCAAAATGAAATGCACACAAAACATTTGTCAACCAACATGCGCACTAAATTTTCAACAGCTCACATTTATCAACACAACAACATACTTATTTTTTTTTTTTTTTTTTTTTTTTGTAATTACCACATATTTGTATTTACTTTTTTTTATCTTACTTTTATAGGTAATTTTATGTAGAGTGCTAGTAAATATTTTTAAGCAAGCGAAAGAATTTATGTATTACAAAAGCAAGCATTGAAAATTCTTCGAAAATAAAATTCGAAGTTGAAATTGCAAAAGAGTACAATATTGTGTAAAATAAGACGTATTCGCACGCGTTCATAAGTGCTTAAGTGCTTAAGTGCAGCGCGCAATAAATATTAACGTAACAGACGCTATAATTGTGGTACCTAGCTACCTACATACATACATACATATGTACATGCATACCATGTATACTCAATAAATCAGTAGAGATTCATCAATCAACTCACTCATCGGAGAAAGCAAATCGGAAGAAAATCCAAGCTTCATAAAATCAAATTGTCAATTAAGTAGAGTACTCATGTCAATCCCACCAAGGCACAAACGAATTGAAAACAAAAAAAAAACACAAAAAACAAACAACAATAAAAAATATATATTGGAATTCAAAATTCTACCAAAGCTATTATTATCTGTTTTGTAAATAAATAATTGGAATTAGCTGAATTGATTGAGCGTGCGTCACCAAACCACCTTTTCATCACATCGAAAGTGCTTTGCAATCATTTCAAGTACAATTAATTGGCAGCTGCACCACAGGTTCGATATGAGCTGAGTAAAATTCTCGTTTGGCGGGGAGTATAAAAAACTCTCGCAAACAACGCTTTAGTAATGTGTAGTAGTAGCTTTTATTGTGCAATTGTGTTGTTGTCTTTGGACATTGTAATCACATTAACATTCACTCGAGTCATTCGAGTTCGCTTCGGCTTTAAGTACTCGCAAATATCCAAAGAATACGCATTCAGAATATTCAAGTCTTCCATGATTTATTTCATTTTTTTTTTGAAGTTAAAAGCCCACATAAAACATCCATTGGCTACTTACAAAAAATGTTAAATTAATTATTAACTATTCGTTTTCATTGCTGATTAAGCTTTGTGAACATTTTTTCACACGCAAACAAAGCAAATTTTCGTGGCAGCAATGTCAATATTTCAAAATACGTTGCATACTTCTGAGCGTAAAAACTGAAGACTTAAGTGAAGAACTCGACCGCTGAATCTCAGCGCTAGATTTTTGTAAGATGATTTCTTCTTCTTCATAGAAGCAAAAAAAAAACAAATCTGAACGCGATTTTTGTGATTTTGACGAGACATTGACATTTCATAGCAAAGTGTTTTAGCTCAAAGTGGTATTGTTGAGAATTCACGTTTGTGACGTTTGTTTGTTAGTTTAATTGTGTGTTTGTACGTTAATTTCCCCCTTGTGTGCGTTCACCTACATAATTGTGTGTAATTTTGAATTGAGCATTACTTTATTGTTATAGAATTATGTTAAAGATTTTTATTTATTATTTTTGATTGAATTTATCTACATACATTTATGATCGGTATGCAGATGAATGAAAATAAGTGAAAGGAGCAAATAATATCAAACTTTTTGATTATTCGCTATAAATACAATAAATTAAAAATATAATAGTTTCATCTGCATACTCAGTATTTATTAATTTTATATTGCCTGATTTTTCGGCTTAAGAATTTTATTTTCAACTCTCGAACCGTTGATGTTTTTTTTTTGACAAAAATTTGTCAATAAAGGGCAAGCTAGTGACACATAATTTTTTTATATCTAATAGTTATTAAACAAACATGTCTTGATATTCGAGCGGGAACGTTAAGATTTACTTCAGCTAGAATCAAGCCTGTCATTAATTTAAAGATAAATATTATATCCAGCATTTCTCGACGTCTTGCAAGTTTAGGCAGAATTAAGAGCTTTAGACGACTAAGTAGTTTTATTTAATTAAAGTTAATTTTGCAACGCAAAAACTAAGAATTCCAAACTATATATATTCTCATATTGGTCTAACTGAAGTTGTAAAAGGAGCTTTTGTAACATAAGGATCGCTGAATTCATTTTACCATCACTTTAAAAATGCAAATATGCCTGTAGCTTTATTGACTAAAGCTTTAATATGAAGGTGGAATTTCTGTTTGGAATTCATTGCGATACACAAATCGGCGGAATTGGGTACCTGTTCCTGATTGGGAATTGATACTGAACAAAAAGTTGAACTGACATTCGAGAGAAGCACATAACTACATTTTTTAAGGTTCAGTGGCAAAAAATTTTCATATCACCAACTAACGATGCTGCTTAGATCCGCTTGCAATAAATATCTTGCTGCGATAAAGGAATATGATATAAAAATTTTTATTTTTTAGTTTTTGAATATTTTTTTTACACATAAAATAAGAATATTTTCGAAACTAATGACAGGTAAAACAATTTTTTCAATTTTTTTTTATCGATTGTTGCATATTTCTGCATAATTTCCTATTCATAGTAGGATTATTCATCCATAAAAAAATACTGTCAAAAATTAAAATACTGGGTAATACAGGTTACAAGGAATCATTTTGTATGAAATTTTCTTACTTACATACAAACAAGAGATCAGTGGAAAGATAGATGCAATCTCTTTTAAGGTGCCATTTAAACTTTCTATACTGACAGTTCCAGCACAAAAAATTGAAGGGGGAACGCCTCGCGTAACTTCAAACGCTTCGCTGCTTGAGATACAATGCTAATGGGGTTGGACTCGAGCGATTGGATGATAAGCGTACTTTTAGTCATAGTCAGCAATTTTGCAATAATATAAAAACGATTTTGCACTAAAAAAAAAAAAACTTTACATTGAACGGTTATTTTCGGTCCCTGTTATATAGGCCTGAAGTACAATTGACAGCTTTGCTTGAGTGCTTCTATTTCTCTCGGTCTACACCCGTTTTTAATTCAACCCAATCCATTGTTACAGGAGAAGAAGCTTCCCGCCTGAAATGGGCAGATCTTGAATATTTGCTCTTATGCCCACTTAGTGATCCATGTGCTCAAAATAATACTTCGAAAGCTCAAGTCTTTTCTGACCAGTGCACAGTGGTTCAACATTAGCATTTGGTGTTCACATTTTATTGAAGCCTTAATTTTTCACTCACTTTCATACATTTTTTTTAATGAAAGCTAATAAAATTGGCGAAAGACTAGTTGAGCCCGATTTTTAAATTTTTGTTTGTTTGTATTAAATTGTTTAGTGCAAAAAGCAAAAAAGGTAGAACAAGGAGCACTTTTGGAGAAAATCGATTCTTCTGTTCCAGTTAATAAATGTTACATAACAAAAACTACTTGAAAACAAATAAGATAAAATAAAAAATTGTTTAAAATGTAATAAAAATATTTTCACCAGAAATGTATTTTTTTTTTTGGTTTTTATAAAAATTTTTGGCAAGCAGTTAAATAAATCATTAAATTTTAGTGTAACAAATTGCAAGTTTCAAGTGGCTAAGTCGCGTTTATTTTTAATAATATAAGAAACGCTTTTATTTCCCATTTAGCATGCAGATACTCTCAAAACGTTAGCGAAAAAAATTATTGCCAACTGCACTTTATTATACTAAAATTTAATGATCTATAAACTGCATACCCAACATTTTTCAAGAAACTAATTTTTTTTTAATTTTGGTGAAAATTTTTTTTAAACATTTCAAATTTTTCTAGTGATTTTTTTTCGGTTTGGGGTAACCCTACAATTTTTTTTCAACTAGTTTTTATTATAGCTGTCATCGATTGTTAGCTTTCATTAAGAAAATAAAAATAATCAAATTGAGTAAAAAATTAAGGCTCCGGTGAATTGTGAAATGAAAATGCCAATTTTGAACCACGGTGCAGTGGTGGATTGTGACGATCAAATATTTTCCTATCTTTGATCGGCTATTCATTTTTAACTATTTTTTAAATTTGTTAACTATTTTTTATGCATTTTTATTTGAATTTTTTAATATTTTATTATTGGTTTTTATTAAAAGTTTTAAAACTTGCTTTGCTATGAAAGGAATTTTTTTTAATTTAATTAATGATTTTCAAATTTGTATTTCGGAATTTTTGCTAAAACAACCGCTTTTGAACCCCCCCCCCCCATAATGTGAAAGCTACTAACCCTTAGAATGTTACAAATCTAGAATTTAATACTAAAATTCTTGTGTGAAAACAAATACGTTAAAAAGTTTTATAAATATTACAAAAAAACACAAATTTGCACAACAAATTAAAACAAAAAATCATAGTTCAAATTTAAATCAGTTAAAAACAAACGAAAGAAGTTTAGTTAGTTTAACGATATCTAACAGTAAAAACTACGGTGATCAATCATAAAATGCCAAGGAAATTAAAGCTCATTTTCATGCAGATTTATTTTATTCATTTCACGCAAACATTAAAGTACATAATTACAAATAAAATTATTAAATACTGGTGTTTGTTCTCAAAATTGCAGAGAAAGACGAGCATTAAAAATACATACGTATTAAAATTTATACCGATTTAAGAAATATGCAAAAAAATACACATCCAATTTTTAAAAAAAAAAAAGGTAAAAAAAATCATATAAATTATAAATTAAGAGAGTTCGAAACATTGAATAGGTTGCTAATGCCATAAAACTGCCAGAAGAACAAGCTTTATTTTGAGCTCATCAAAAGCTCTAATACATTTTGAGATCACTAAGTTCACTTAGCATTGCCACATTTTTATTTCAATACTCATTACTCACGCAACTTTAGCCGTAACTCGTTTTCACGGCATACCACACACACACACACACACACACACATCTAGCACTTGCTCAAAATTGGATATTCAAAAATTCAAATTGCACTTTTTCAACTTTTTTTTTTTTTTGTTTTTACATAATTTTGCATTGTAGAAGCATGGGTAGTACCAGCCGTTTCAGCGGTAGATGAAACAGTTTCTGCACCATCACAACCCGAATACGTGCATACCGATCACAATAATAATAACAACATGAACAACTATGCTATTGACAAACACACAAAATCATCTACTAAAACACACAAAAAGCACGCACCCGAACATTCACGTACATCCACAGCATCTGAAAACGAAAAGGAACATGAAAATCAATCTGATAACGAATCTGAAAATCACTCATCGAAACACATGCACAATAGGCACGCACATGAAAACGAATCTGAATCGGAAATCGAGCACGAGCGCGAGCACGAGCACGAGCACGACCACGACCATGAATCTACACACGACAACGCCGCACCCGAACACACCATTCAAAGAACACCCACGCACGAAGAGGAAGAGGCTAATCCTCCGGATGCAGATGCTGTACACGAATAAATATTCGCACAACAAAATTCAAAATTTTCATAAAACGTAAAAATTACAAAGCAAACAAAAAAAAACGAATCAAAATTTTATAGCAAATTTCTACATTCACAGTTGATTGAGCTTTCTTTCTAAAAATTTGTAAGCAATTATCAGCATTACATATCTGCATATTTATGGGCTTAAGTGTGCGTTGAATATTTTATTTATGTGTGTACCTATGTATTTTGCTTCATCCGATTGATTACGCAACTTCATCTCATCTCACAAAACTAAACGAATCGCCGAACACTTCTAACAAATTCATAACATAAATATTTATCTACCGTATTTTCTAACAAGCACTTTGCATGATATTAAGAGCTTTTCGTGAAAACTTTTGTATTTATTTTAGCTAAGCATTAGATCATATTTCCAACAAAAAAAAAATACGTACTGAAATATTGTGAAGGTGTTAAGCCACATTTGTGAAAATAACACAAGACTCACAAATGTATAAATAAAAATGAAGGAAACTAGCTTTAGGTCTATTCCCCACTATAGGTATACCTTAGACTAACGCTAAGCTTGTTGCAAATAACAACCAGTTCTAAGGAAACCAAAAAACCCATAAACAGTGACCAAAAAATTTATACCAGACTCTCACTAACATCATTTGATCTTAGCTAGCTAAATATTGGCATATGTTTATGACCTCGCTACACAACCAGGGGGTACCTTGCGGTACTAAGATCAAGGACTAAGTTTTAGCTTGGTCTATTTACAGTAATTGGAAGTCTGAAACCCTTGGTACTTATACATAAAAAGTACCCTATAACTAAAATTCAAAATTCAAAACAATCAGTTTCGCTCAGGCTCGCTTTCTAAATACAAAATTTCAACGATAGCACCACCTAAATATTGGATGTTAGAATATACCACATTAGTCGGGTATTTTTTGGCGGTTTCATTTTAAACGCAGCGTGAAATTTTAAAGTGGCCACACCCTGTTATGTACCATATCCAAGCCTCGGTCCATAGGCACTCAATAGGTAGTTTTTCACCACTTCGGCGCTGTCTTTAAAGAACAAGATGGAGGATATATACGCCATCTCCTAGTGGACTCTTCGTTACGAGCATCTCCCTCAGTGGAAGAATGTTAAAGACTACCTAAGAATTCGTATGCCATCCGGTTGCTCGCTAGTACATTTAAAGAGGTGCAAGGAAGCTAAAAACCTAGGCTGCAAACCGATTTTAACCCGAGACAATTTTGCAGTATTTTTTATTGAAATGTATACAAAGCTATAAGTGGTAATTTCGCTTCAGCGAAGCACTTTTTAAGTCATAAGAAAAAAATTAAACCATTACTTCATAGGTAGTCACTAACCGGTTCCTGTACCGGTACCAGGTTTTTTCAAGTTGTTCGATCTACCGAACCTAATCACACTTACTTTTGGAATGATTTGCAACCCTGTTCTAAACGAGCTTGGAAATGTCTGTTACAGCTTTGATTCGCTTATATTCATAAGAAGGATAGTCTATAAGCTACTAGATAGAGTTGTATTGAAAACGGTTATCGGCTAAGCAGAGTATTGTCAAGGTGATTTTACCACTTTGATCTTAGCTATAAAATCAGAAGCAGAAGAAGCAGATCCGCTCGACTTTTTTGGAGATCAGATTTCAAATAAAGTGGACGAAAAAAAAATCACGATTTAAAATTTATTAAGAGAAACTCAAAAGCCGAATCTGATCGGTTGATACCCAAGCAGTAAGAACCATTACGCCAAAGGTGAATAGACAACCTAAAAGATTCATCACTCCCTATAGTGGCATCTATAAGGCTTCGAGCACGAGCTTATGGACGAGTTAAGAGATGAACTTATTAGTGAGCTTAAAAGCCTCTTGAAAACATAGTGCGAGCATTTAAGTGCATACATCCGTTGAAAACTCCTAGTGTGCCATTAATCAGTCGGACAATGCACGATTAGTTCCGAAAAGAATGCCTTTGAGTTACTATTTTTGTTATGAGAAATTTGAAGTACATTTAAATTGGTCTTTGAAGACTAAAAATCGGTGAGTCGTGAAAACTTCACAAACCAACAACCACCTCGTGTGAAATCGCCTTCTGAAGCAACCATTCTTGATGTGTTTCACGGCTATGTACAACAATAAAAAAAACTAGATCATAAGCAAAGGTTTTTAAGTGACTACTTAATCTTAGCTGAGAATACCTAATAAAGAGATTATTTACCTGACAAATAAAATACTGATATGAAGGAAAAGGTTTTATAGGCTGCCGCGCTTCCGGCATATAGAGCTCGTAAGTAGCCTTAAAGTGAAAAAAGTTAGAGATGGAACTACTATAAGCTCCATCCTGAGGTGCAGTGATTCTTTAGGCGATAGAACTTTGGATCGCAGCAAAAAAATAATAATTGGCCCTATTACGGTTGTCGACGTCGATGTCATTTTTTTAATCAAAAAATAGACCTCGAAAGTCCAACGCCAGCAACGCTGACCACAGTATTTTTGCGGAAAGGTTTTCCTCGCAAACATACTGTGGTCAGCGAAACCAGAGTTGGACAGATGACGGCTTTTTTTTTGACGAAAAAATTACATCGACGTCGACCAGGCCAAATAATTCAATAGCCCACTTTGGTGACGTTTCTTTTCAAAAAAAACTCATTAGGTACTATTCATCCCCCAACAACAATTTAAAAAAAAAACCTTCCCCACATTAGAAGGAATGGATATTACACTCAGTATTTGATCGACGCCCCTGAAAAAAAAAACATATTTTGGGTATTGCTTACGTAATGAATACCACAACTATCAGTCAAATGATTCGATGGATTTCGGTTATAATGGTGGTTTTTCAAGGTAGCCTAAGCCGTCTTGCATCGTTCTAGTACACATATGTAAATATAAATCAAAAAATACTGTCGTGAGCTCCAGTCATACATACCTACTTCTTCACAGTGTGGTTGATCATACTCTAGACCAGAACAACATTAAAGTAAAAGATAAAACTCATCAGTAGAAATCATTTAAAATACTCAATCGTTTCTTTATTACAAACATATTTGTACGAGTATTAAGTATATGTATGTATGGTAATGTATTTCGAGCACAATGTATTTTGCATATGTACATATGTATATGTAAATGTTCTCATATCGTATGTAATTTTCATTAAATGTCATTTAAATTTAACGCATTTTAGCAAATATTTCAAAACAACAACAGAAAACTAATTTTTTTTCAATTTCTTATTTCGTATCGACAAACAGATAAACTAGGATTAATAGGCGGCGAGACACAGCCACAATATCCACAGTATCCACAATATATGCCACCACCACCGCCACCACCACAGGCACAAGCGCCAGCTGCTGGCACTTCATCATTGGACGACGACGGCGGCAGTGATGGCAACAAAGAGCAACATGGTGCAGTATAAAGCTTTTCTTCAAAACAACTAAGTTAAAGTGAACAAAGCTAAACAACAAATAAATAAGAATTATAATCATTACATAGAATGGACAAAAAAAAAAAACAAAAAAAAAACAGAAGTAAAAGAAAAGAAGCAGAGAAAAACTACTGAGTACTAAAGAAGGGGGAAAACTGACTGACAGTTTTCAAAACAGGCCGGACATTAACAGCAATGAGGGCGCAAAATTTCCTATATACATATATACAATGCATATAAGGAAATGTGGTTTGAGAGATGAATTTTATCGAATTGTTCAGGCAGCAGTGGATGGGCTTATGGGGTCGAAATTAATTTTGTTAGCCTTTCGTGTGGAACACTTTATTATTATTATTTTATTTATTTATGATGGATATCTTATTTTATTATTTATTTATTTTTTTTTTTAAATTGAATTCTCGGTCTTTGCTCAATTGTTTCGAAAAGAAAGTTTTACGACCAGCTGATTGCTGCTTCATTAAATTTTAGTGGTTTTGAGGTTAGATGACCCCAAATTCAATAGTTCCCATCTGCTGCTGCACTGGCTGGACACCACTTATGCAACAACAAATACAGTCATACACCAAAAGAGCGACAAAAATATATTCTTTCAGCAATACAATTTCAATAGCAGAAAAATGCAAAAACTGGTCATACGAAATTAATTACAACGTCAACTTAATTAATAAACAAAACATTCAAACAATGAGTAAACAATTACTAATATTTCAAAATATTGACATTTGAAAAATATTTGTTTATGGTTGCATTATTTGTGAGAAAGCCAAATATGACAAAAAAAAAACATAAACAAAAATACGGGACCAAAACCAAAGAGCAACGGCCAGAGGGCAAAGGGCATAAATAAAACCAATGTTTAAACTATAACAAAAATAAATGGAAATACTTGTGTTATTATTATAAAAAAAAAAAATCATAAAAACGAACAACAACAAAAAATGTGCTAGAAAAGCAGGAGGAATTAACATAACATGTGAAAAGAAAAAACTAATGTGACGAGAAAATAAATAAATTTAGCAGAAAAATTTATGAATTTTTATATTTGTAATTGTTTCGGTATTCGAAAATTTGCTGCAATCAATATATTTATTATACATTGCTTGTATTTCGTTTACTTATAGCCACTTTTTACGAAAGCAATTTAAGTGAAAAATGATTTTATTTTTTTTTTTGAATTTCATATGCAAATTGACAGAAAATAAAAAATCATTTTCCATTTAAATTGCTGGTGAAACCGGCTGTTAATTACACATACATATTTTTTTTATTTAATTCTTTGAGTTGCATAGCGAAAATGTATTTAAGTAGAAAAACAAATAAATATAAGCAAGTTAATGTTAATAAAAAAAAGAACTTACATACATACATATATATGAGGCACATGTATGGGAATGTTAAATTTGTATTAGAATAAAAAATAAAAACGTGTTTTTGCTTGAAATGGCGTGCATAACTACATATATACATACTACTACATTAATGAAATATTATCATACTTAATCAGTATGAACGCCGATTTAATTAAATGCCAAAGCTACAAACAAAAAATTTTGAAAAAAAAAACAAAAATAACACAGTGAAATTCTAAAATTTTCTTTTTCTTTTTTTTTTTTTGTTTCGAACTCATTTCTATATAGCAGTTTTATATACGTGCATATATTGGAATATAGTTATTTCCGATTTTCAAAATTTAAAAAATATACGTATAATAAAAATAATAAATTTAAATTGTTATTTAGCATTATTAATAATAGTTTCAGAATTTCAACGATTATTTTAAGTAAAAATAAAAGCAAAAAATAAAATAAAAATTAATGAAACAAAAAAAAATCCAGATTGGCGTGGCAATGTCTGCATTAAATGCCACACCGCTTCGTGCATTGCCATCTGCCAATCTGCGTCATTCTCGAAAAATATGTGAATGCTATTCTTTGTTTTCGTAAATTTTGTGTAAGCTAAAGACATTTTAAAATAGTGGTATTCACTTAAACTGCAGAGACCCGCGTAAATCGCATAAGTTTGTAGTCTCTGACTGAACTGTCGAAATTTCTACAGAATATACTTTCCGATTTTCGGGGATTACGAGTTTAAAGGGTCACTTAAATGTATTTATTCTATGTATACTTACAATCCTTCAATATGTAGATGAACTTTTATGTTGTACCGATTTTCGCGTCACTTCGCATTGAAAGTGAATTTATCAAAAATTTGACATGTTTTGACAATTTTGACATATTTTGCATACAATTGTCAAAAGTGAAACACATCGAAAGTAAGCACACTGGAAGATGTTTTTGTTAATTAAGTAATTTTTTAACAAAAAATCTGCATGTCAGTGTCAAAATTTTGACATTTTCATACTTACTTTAAGAGCTTTTTTTTGTTTGAGAATATTATTCCCTCTTCTATGTAATGCTGACTTAAGCGTCATTTTTTTGTCATAAGCGCTTAAAACTAGTTTGTCAAAGTTTTGACATTTTTTGACAACTTTGTCATATAATGCATAAATTTGTCAAATCTTGAATAATGAAATTTTTCAACAAAAAAATTTTACGCGATACTGTCAAAATTTTGACATGTTTTGACGAGGTCGACATTCTTTCTTAATTTGAAAAAGTTATGCACTTTTCTATGTACTTAGTACTATTTTGAATGCGATATTTTGGCTAAATCCTTTGAAATCAGTTTGTCAAACTTTGGCATGCTTCCACAATTTTGACATACTTTCTATGTATAAATTTGACATAATTGTAGCACATCGCAAGTAAGTACTATAGTGGATGAATTTTATAATTAATGTAATTTTTCAACAAAAACTGTACAGCAGTGTCAAAATTTTGACGAGTATTGACAAAACTGACATTATTACAAAACTACAATGCAAAAATCCTACTTAATTTTGCACCTTTTAAATTATTATGTTCTGTCATGAAAAATTTAATCAAACTGTTAAAATTTTGACATGTTTGACAAGAATTCAAAAATCATCTTAAAATGTGGCACAAGGAAAGTCAGCATCATATTTGCGTCGGCCTTTAAAAATCTTTTTTTTTTTTTTTGTTCTTTACTGCCTCTATAAAAATATGCGAATATGTATGTATATGTATGTAGATTGTATGCTAATTAATAGATATTTGTTTATATATATATATGTATATATATGTATGTAATTGAATTGAAGTTCGACCTTTAGGGAAATTCTATATACATATATTTGAGGGAATTAAACTTGTACCAAATAAACATTTCCAAATGATTCATGACGATCCTATTTAGAAAAAAAGTTTAATAAATTATTATGTGAAACAAAATACATATACATATGTATGTAAGTATGTATGTAGACGGGTTAATCACATGAACACACATACATACATATATTTGAAGGCCGTCATTCTTTGGGCTTTGAAGTCGAAAAATAATTCGAAACCTTTTTTCACTTAATATGCACTCGTATGCCAAAGTCCATTCATTCAATTTGCAAATATTCCCGAATCTGCTTTAACGACATTATTTGAGATCGTAGGTAGCTAGCTTGGCCAGTGTAGCCAGCCGCTGTGTTTTGTGCGAAGGTTTTTTGTATTCAGTGTAGGTACATACTTTCAAGTATATCTCGCATAAATATTTATGTAGATGAATTTCATAGATGTGGCACTAGAATTTTTGAAATAATATTTAAATATATAAATGTTAGTAATTTTAGTTACATAATTATGTAACTATTCAAGTAATGCTCGTACTTAACAACAATCATCCTGGACTTGAACTAATCCTGAGCTGAAAAGCTTTTTCGTATCCTACTACATTTTAAAAGAGCTTTCAGCAACTTCCCAATCACGAAATTAATTTCTTCAGGCTTCTGCTTCATTTCTTCCAGTTTAGACTGCAAAAGTATGCAGTTGTAGGCAAGTTTTTTACTTTCCGCATGAGCAAAAAAAAAAAAAAATCACGACTAAAACCAATTCAACTACATAAATCCTAATGAAATGAAGTTGTAGCAGAAATGATTGAACGACAACTGATTAACGGCAGACGCAAAGTTTTTCTCAAAACAAATACTTATAACAAAAATCGAAATTAAATTAAAACATGTTGTAAAGGGTATAATTAGTAGCAGCAGTAAAGAACAAAACTATATAATAATAATAATAGTAATATGTAATAATAAATCGTCAAAATTCCAAGGCAAAAATAAATAAAAAAAAAAACTCATGAATTATAGTACATAAATGATACTGAGAACGATTCCACAAAATTTCAAATGGATAAAAAGGATATAAAATGCATGCCCTGTGTATGAAAGTACATATGTACACATATGAATATGAATACTTATATATAAACGATAATAATATTAATTAATTTAATGATTAATTGCACCCAAATACATGAATATTTAAATAAATAAATAAATCTACAAAAAAAAAACATAAAAACAAAACGAGTTTGAATTCAATTGATTTGATATTTCGATATCGGATGTGTCAAAGAGCTAGAACTCTTTGCAATCGACTAGTCAAAAAATAGCCGACTTCATTTAATCGACTAACCGTTTCCTTTAAACTTTTTCAACTAACCCTTTGCTTTCGATTTTTCTACAAGTTGTGTTTTTTTCGATAAACATGTTTTTTAATTTTTTTTTTCTTGAAAACTTATGCTTATTGACAAGACTCAACTGCGTTTTTGAACTAATTTTATTATTAACAACGGAAAATTTCGGCTGGTCAATTAGACTGACAACCGATAGTGAGCGGTTAGTCCAAATTCAATGGTTAATACCTGCTGGTTGACCATCAACCGACAAGAAAGTTGCTAATCGATTATGCGACTAACCAAATAGCGGGGTAGTCAATTTTATACAAGAGTTCTACCAATAGCCTATTAAAAAGTAACTAAGGTAGAAGTGAATTTAAGGTCTCTTTGTAGTCGACTATGATGTCAAAAGCTATACAGAATTTATGTATTTGGAACGAATTTTAGTCATCCCTTGTCAAATTTGGTTTGACGACAAACCGGTTTCGGCGTAGTGCCATCTTCAGTGACACTGAAGGGATCACGGACGACACCCTGTCGGAAACAACAACAACCAAAAAGGAAACTATAAAAAATTGTTCGTATGGTCGTTTTGTGTCCCTAAGAGAGAACTGTCGAAATGGGAGTAATTTTTTAAAATACCCGTATTTGCTGATTCAATCTCTCTTACAGCTTAATCCCTAAATTGGAGCGCTAAGCGTAGCGTTTTGCAACGACAACGAGTGGCAGCGAGGCTGCACCCAGTAAACACATTAAACTTTGAACATTTTCGCATTTCCTCTCGTTTTTGTTCTCGTTTTCTCTTTCTTTTTTTGTACTATTTCTTTGTTTCTGTTTCTGTCTTCAGCATCCAACTTCAAGGCGTAGCGGCCTGCTGTCAAAAGTAAAAATCCATTTGCTCTGCGCTATCGGCGCGTTATTCTGATATGCCTCATACAAATTGTATGGGGATGAGCATTTTAGACAGATCTTCGGATCTGACGTCGTTGGGTGGCCATCTTGGCTTCTAAAGAAGTATGTATATGGAAAGTTTACATATACATATATGTAACTTTGGGCCATAATTTGAAACTCTTGTTTAGCAACAAACAATCCAAACGCGGACTAACATGTTTTCTTTCAGTTATAATTTTTTTTTTGCCGAATGCCGGAGTCACCTTTTTTACGCCATATTTTCGCCATTTGGCGTCGGATTTTAAAGTAGAGGGTATCGAAGCTCTTGTCGAGGAGACAATTTTTTATGTTCCAAAGTTCATTGACCTCAAGCCTCGTATTATATTGGTACTAGTATCAGTTATTATCTCCCTAAAGTCCCTAATATGAGGAAAAGTAAAAAGGCGACCCCTCGGCAAAGTAAATCAAAGCAATAAAACTGCGATG